GACCTGGAATGTGCCTTCCTTGAATGTGGGACCTGCAGGGAGTGTAACCCTGGAGTAAATACAGAATTTCAGAATTTCTGCCGAGTAAATACAGAATTTCAGAATTTCTGATGAATAAATACAGAATTTCAGGCTTTGCAGCAGGGCCAGTTTTAACCATTGCTAAAAACACATCCCCCAAATGAAATCACCACAGAAAAAAAAGGCTGGGGAAGAATTCTTTTCAACACTTCAGAACCAGATCTTGGCCTAGGAGCTCTCCCAGTGTGAATGATGGGCTGGGAGGGAAATGGAGCTTGGAGGGAGCAGGGATTTCTCTTTTTTTGGGAATTCCAGGAGCTCCCCAAAAAGCCTGAGGCTTTGTATTGCTCCTCCTTCCCATTGCAGCCCCTCTATATCCCCTAAAGATGAGTTTTTGCTGCTCAGCCACTGCCAAGACAAACTGGCTGCAGCGAGATTAAACTGGAATCCTGAGCTTTTACAAATCCTGTTTTTCTCATCTTCTCCGGGTTCTTCCCACAATGCAGTGTCACCCACCCAAATTTCATTTTCGGCAGAAGATTGTAACTTGCTTGGTTTTTAATTAAAATTGTCCGTACTCTGATTTAATGGCTCCATAAAGCATCCTGCCTCGCCCTGCCTCAGGTAAATGAAAATATTTGCTGTGGTAAATAGCACTATTAGTTTTATGATCCATAGCAGTAAAAAGCTTTTATCAAGAATGTCATCAAAAGAGGCATAAAATTGKGTTCCGTGTAAAACTATCGGGATGTGTGAGAAGTTTTACTGGGATTCATAAATTYCTGTAGGAAAAGCTGTTAATAACAACCCTTTTTTTGGTGCACCTTGTGGTCATTTAAAATGAAAAATAGTTTGTGAGCAGCTCCTGTATTTGTGGAAAGGATGGGCTGACGAGGTGGATGTAATAGGAATTATTCCCTTTTCCCTGCACAGATTCCCTGCATCAGCTGGGACAYGTCACAGTGCTCAGGAGCAGAAACACTCTGACTGAAATGAAGCTGAGGAGAAACCTCTCAGAGTTCCCTGCCTGGTTTTTGTGGTGTCACACTGCCCTGATTGTGGTGTTCAGCCTGGCACACCTTCCCTGGCACGGCTGGAATGGACCCCGGGCACCTGCAGGGGCAGGGATGGACGGGGATTTTGTTTGGGACAGAGTTCTGTCCCTTTGAGGATGTCTGGGTGACACCCAGAGAGGTTCCTCCCTGGCCAGGCTGTGCTATTTTACACAATAATTTGAATTATGTTCGGTTTCAAAGTGAGCAGCATCGGGTTTTCTTACAGCAGTGGGTGAGTGACCCTTCTCCCCACCAAACATCCACCAGATCCTACTGGAAATGGGATTTTCATCCCCTAAATCCACCTCGGACCTGCTGTGGGGGTACCACATCCTCCAGCTGTGGCCAGGACAGACAGAAGGGTGGCTGGAGACAGAGCCCTGCTTAGGATTAGCCAGGAGTCTGGCTTTGGGGTGTTTTGGCAGAGCTCAGTC